CTTATCGAGATTTTTTAAATACTGAAAAAAAGGGCTGAAAACGTTTGGCCGACTTAGGCCAAAACCGACTTATCGAGAGACCGACTTATCGAGTTTCCCTGTGTACCACGATAATTCGAACGGTGACCCCGGACCCGAGGGGGTCGAATTATAGGCAGTTGACTGTACCTCCATCAATACTTTCCCAGCATCTTTTTCAGTACATATATACACCCACATTATATGGATTAAGGAACCTCCTTTATAATTATGCCCATAATGTTGCAAAAATCGATGCTCGTTCATTACAATATCTATCATCTCTTCCTGATCTGTTATTAATTCCTGAAAACCCGTTTATCTTCTTCTGTGATCGGGAGACGGATTTCTTCAGGTTTAAAGCCAAAATATTGAGATAGTTTTTGCAACGAATCGATTCCGGATCGAGATTCAAGCTCTGATGACATGTTTATTAATAACTTTTATATAAGGTGTAGATTATTCAAAACCTTTTTATCGTGCAGACATGGAAGTTATTCGCGCGATTAAAATTTGTGGGACGGGCCGTCTTGAAAAAATGCCAAGAAGAATTTTCTGAATTTTAATTAACTACGCGACTGAATTGTGACGTATGCTCTTACATAGGAAAAAATTACATCGCATCTGTATCCTCTGAATTAGAATCACATTTCTGATCCAACGTGTGAAGAAAAAATGCTAGAAAAATGTTGTCTATAATATACGGGAAAAAATATATATTTCATAGGCTTACGTTGGCCTCGATAAAAGCATTGACTGCTTTGTGACCTTTGATGGTGATGACTTTGTTTGAATAATGTCACTAAACTTTCTTTTCAAAATCTGAACTTTGTCATTATCATGTTCCACTTTCACGGTACTTTCTGACTCCACCTTAATGATCATCTACATAATTAATTCAGAATGAATAACTGAAAAATCAAAAGATGTAAAAGATAAAGATAAACTTACGATGAATTCTAGTAATTTTAATATACCCGCCTTCATCATATGAATCTTGCTCGAATGAGAAGCAACAGTGAAACTCCCAAA